CTTTTGTTATCGTAATGCATATGGTGTGTATATTAGAACACTATACTCTCGGTCAGCCAGGTCTTTTGCTTTGTAAATTCTAGCCATCATCGTAAACCTCTGTACTCTTCTTTAAAGTTTCCTATGATGGCGTGAGCTTCAGGCTGCCTCAGCGCAGACATTCACCCCACAGTGCATTAAACTGACTCTATTATTGGGGATCTTTGTGGTTTGATACAGAGAAAAATATTTTTTGGTGCTAGGCTCTAGAATATGAAAATGAAAATTCTGTCATCATTTAGAGGTCGTTCATGTAGAACTGTTTTTGCATTTCACTGCGTTGCTTTTCCTTTGTTTTTCTATGTCAACTTGCGCAATGTGGATGCCTTTGACCACTGGGTTTGAATTTGGCATCTTTTGCAGAGGAGATGATTTTACAAAAGGAGATGTATTGCAGTATGTACAAGTTGCTCGTTTCCATACAAAAAAAGTAAATAGGGATGGACACTATGAATCTTAGAATTGTAACAGAAAATCGATAAATGTATATTGAGCTATATTCTCTGGTCACTGTATGTGACCAGCATGGCATTCATTTTTTGTGGTCATATGGGTTTGAAACAACACGACACGAAAATGATGACCACATTGCCATAGATGAAATATCCCTTGTAATTGACATTTTTAAAAATAAGCATATATTGGCAAATTTGATCAGTCGGGTAGTAATGCTACGTTTGTGTTGAAATATTTGAAACACTTTTTTTGTTACAAATAATTAGGCTTGTGTTAAGTCCTTTGTTTTTAGATTGCTGTCTTAATGGTTTGTATTAACCTTCAATTTTGAGATCTTTTGTAATGGCACAGTACCATAATAATACCGCAGTAATGTGCAAAGAAATTCTCTCTAGCTGCCTTCCATCCATTTGCGTACTGCTTTTTGTTGTGGACTCTTTCAAATATTACACCTAGCTCAGGTATCTTGATTCATTGCTGTCTGGAGATAAGTAGACCCTTCAATGCCCTTCAGTTGTCAGTTGGAAACCATGTACCTTTCCAGTGTTATTTTGTCATACTCCTGGTTCTCCATTGAGAAAAAGTCTATGATAGAGGCATGACCAAGACGGTCATGGTTATTTTATGCCATCTATCTGACCGAGAGCTCTTTCTACACTTTAATTACTTTATCAGTAGAGTCAGTTGCGCTCCCTTGTGGAAAGTTTCCATACCCCCTGCCTCCCCAACCGTGTGGAAAGGCCGGATTAATAGGCTTTAGAGTGATTTGATGTGGAAGGCTTTGAAATACCTTGTGTTGCGACAAAAAACACAATGTCAAACCTCTACCTCCCATTCTCCCCCCGTCCCTCTTTTCATTAGTTTAGCCATGACATTTCAGATTAATGTCGTTCCTGAAACACCCGTAACATGCCACACTTAATCACTCACATCAGGGTGTTCCATCAAGGTCCCTTTTTGAAAAGCTCACCGCAGACTTTTTCCATATCGCTTAAACTATTGTGACCTGAAAACATGTCCCTGGTGGGAAAAGGCCTTTCAGTCAGCAAGCCCTGCGCGCAGTCCAATTATTGTTAAACCCGAAATAGCTCTAGCGTTAAGGAGTGGGAAATGCTTATTAACACCTTTTTAACAAGACTTGTGTATAGAATGCACCTCGTTCGGTTTTTGTCAATGATGGCTTCAGTTCCTTATGGAGTTGGTTCTTCATCAAAGGGCTCTCAGTGGAGTGTACTGTGCATTAATTCTGAAGACGGCCTTTGGCCCGCTTTCGTGTTCTGAATCCGCGAGCCAGCCCTGTGCTATGGCATAAGTGCCCTGCATGAGCACACGGCCTCTCTAAACTGAGGGGGGTGCTCTGAAGAGTAGATGCCAGATCGTGACTGAGCACGAGCAGATTGTACCGTTAATCACGGCACCATCCAGTTCAGATGGAAGCTGCGTTATGTTGGAGCTCCGGTACACCACGTTAGTTACGTAGCCTATATAAATAGTCCGCTGAACCCGGCTGCGTCATGTATGTAGCAGTGAGCAAGTTGCTTCTCTAACTGTGTGGGTGTGTTATTCCTTGGGAGGCCTTTTGTGTAAAACATTCAAAAAGTTGGTATATTTGGTGTTAATGCCAACAGTAGTTTTGAAAAACCTGATTAGTCTAAATTAAGACTAAACGGGCTGATTGAATGGGCATGAAATTCACACATAATTCTGGCATGAAATGTATACGAATGCAATGCATAACACATTCTCAGCGGTGTAACAAGGGCTGCTTTACTGGAAGTGGAATGTTTTTCTATGTAAACATGTACTAGATGGACATGTTTGATTGTTGTGCTCTAACAGCATTCTAAAAACTCAAGATAAAAATAGTTTAACTTTAAAAAAAATAAATAAATAAACGAGTGTCTAGACCATGTGGTTTTTCCATTCCACTGCCCTGCATCTCACATTCTACGTGAACACCTCTCATTTAAAGTGATAGTTCACCCAAAAATGAAGTTTGATGTTTTTGGACCCAATTGAACCCCATTGACTTTGATTGAAAGACAAATTCTGTTCTTCAAAGAACATTTTTGCAAATGTTCTTCAAGATATCTTTTGAGTTTCACAGAAGAAAATGAGTCACACAGATTTAGAACTACACAAGGAAGAGGATCTTTGTTTTGTAGTGAACTATCCCTGTATTGGCGCAGACATTTGAAGGTAATTCTATCGCCCTCTTAAGTGCTGCTGAGGTTTGTTACCGTTATGGTAATGCAAGAGCGCACATCAAGTATGTACGATAGGATTGCACTCTTGTAATGCTTTGGTCAGGCATTTGCGTCTATGTTGACGTACTTGCATAGAATGTGTTTCTGACCTTCAGGAAGACCTAGATTCTGTTATTGTTTGCTTTTGTTGGACAATAGAATGAAGAGTCTTGAGCCTGAGGTGTGTGTTTAATGCAAGTCTCAGTTTTGAGATCAGATGACCTCTAGTCCAGTTTAAACACATGATTGTGCTGAATCATCAGGTAAAGGGGAATGTCCTAATCCATTTAAAGTAGGGATGCACCGCTATGAAAATTTTGGCCGATACCGATAATTCTTTATTTTTGAAAGCCGATAACCGATATGTTGGCCGATAAATCTATATCCAAATTTTTATATACTTTGAGAGCCTGATTACAAAAAAGGTCTCATCATTAAAAGAAACATCCCAAACACTTCAACATAAGCAGCCTAGTTTGAACGGTGTACGTTTTAAAAATAATTTTACTCTCCCATTACCAAATTTAGTCATAAAAAAGTCTTACAAATAAATAAAATAATGCATAAATAATACAAACAAGTCACTGGACATCATTACACGTGTAAAGAATCAAAATGAATGCGCCATAGATCAATAAAACGGAATAGCCTCTGCACGGACAATAATTAAATGATTTTAATTACTAAACCATATTGTTGATGAAAATAATAAGAGAAAAATAAAAGTGGTTGTTATTATTAATAATGTATCAATGATTTTGAAAAAGTAACAAATTAATACCACTGTTTTAAATAGCAGCCGTTTGAGCTGCGCGTGCTGAAGCTGAAGAGCTGAATGAACACGGTAAACTGAAGCGTTTTTCTGGCAGCTTATTTAACTCAAGGAAATGCATCCTGAGATTAATATTAATACAACATAAACATAATATTACAACTTATATATGTACAAAATGACGCAGTTATTGCATGCTATAGTCAGAATGTGTGATCCTGTTGTGGATGCGCTCTTCCCATAACAACGTGCTGAAACACAGCAACTAAACCCAAAGAATTCACAACGTTTTATTATAATAATGTTCTCATTAGAATGTTATATACATGACATTCCCAATCATAGTTATTAATGTTGTGCACTGCTGTTTGAGCTGCGTGCGCTGAGCTAAAGATGATCACCGGTAAACTGAAGCGCTCTTAACTTAACCAAACACATTCTATATGAGATAAATCAGATATACATCAAATAAACACAATATTACAAAGTACAATTGCACAAAAGGCTGCAAACGAACAGCGCGCATCTGAAGTGTCTCTGAAGTAAATAATGCATTATTTATCGGCTTTAAGATATCGGCCAAATTTTCTTATCGGGCCGATACCGATAACAGAAAAAATGAGCATTTATCGGCCGATACCGATATGGTGGCCGATATATCGTGCATCCCTAATTTAAAGTATGAACTCTCTTTATCATTTATCAGCCTTGTTCATCCAAAAGTTATCTGTTGCAGTCTTTATATAATTTTTTTTCAAGTAATCCAATAATAGATTGTCTGGTACAGCATGGCGTTGGTATTGCCAAAACCATGAGTTAAGTTTGCAGGTATCACATGCACTGAAAGTCACTTTGGCTAATGGCAAATGCTTATATGCAACTGTTAAAATTATTATGATCTAGGTAAGAATATGTTTCAAGCTTTGTTTTTTAGGTTCCTTTTTAGCCATTTGTCACGCAAATAGTTAAATTCAGGCATTATCTCCGTTAAATATGAGTTTTCAGCCTTTAAAAAAAAAAAAAAGAAATGACAGAAACCCTTCAGTGTTGCACATGGTTTGAGTTAACGTTATTTTGTTGGTCATTGGTATCTCTGGGTTTGTATTGTTGGGTTATGTCATTGTCAAGTTGAATCTGCATTGCAAGTGTCTTTTATCAAGCGTTGTGCTTTCTCTGCCAGTTTTTTCAGCCTTTGTTTATAAATTATGTCAATCATTAGACCTGTCACATTAGATATTAGCCTCATGATCCAGAGGTCAAGTCAGTAGCGAGCACCAAATTAGAGTTATATTTTGGTCTAGAGCCTCAGTTGAGCCTTTCAGTTGTGACTTCCTTTCAACAGGATATAGTTTTTGAGAGGAACAAAAGCACAACAGCTTGAACTCTATTGTAGATGAAATGGATACTCTCGCAGAGCCAAGGGATATGAGAAATGCCATCATAGTTGTTTTTTCTTGATACCCATCCTCCTTTTTTCCCCCTCACAGGACCGTCCCCGTTCATTTGATGGCTTCAACATGCATTCTCTGGAGAACTCCCTGATTGACATCATGAGGGCCGAGCAAGACACTCTGAAAGGTAAGATAAGAGTCCACGAAAGGAGATTGTGTCAAAGTACCATATTGATGGCCAAAAACCTTTGACCCATCAGCAGTTAGATTCATGCGGCCGCTCACATGGTTTAAGTTGCATTGCTCTCTCTGTAATCAAATGAAAGCTGTAGCTGGTTTGTACTCTAGTAAGGGGTCATTCACACAGAACGTGCTTTTTCATTCTACTGCACTGCTTTTGAATTGGTGTTTTATGTAAACGTGCTAAACAGACATGTTTCACTGTTGCATTTGTGTCTTGTTTCTTTTGCAGAATCATATGCATGACAGTGTTCTAAAAATGTAGTGCTCAAGTTAGTAAAGTAGTTAAACTTTTAAAACTTGGCTTTTTTTATTTCACTGCCCTGCATTTACCATTTTTGAATGCAGAAACATGTTCCGTGGAAATGGCCCCTAATATCATCATGAGTTTGTTTGATTTGATGGAGCTCCTGTTCTGTGACCAGTGTCTAATTTATTTTTATTTATATATATATATTTTTTTTTTTAAAGTTGGTTGGTTGCATCACTTTTGTATTCCTGTTTTACGACAACTAATCACAAGGCACGGTCCTGGAGGCCTCACCTTTGATAGCAGTTGTAAATGCATGCAAATGACAGTTAATGAGCCCATGACATTATTCCATGCATTTATTAGAGCATGTTCTGGAGCAGACAGTAGATCTAATCTTTTTTTATGGTCACTGCTGCTGGCTACGGCCGCCTGTTATTTCCCAATTGTGCCGAACAGAATTATATATTGAAAAATGTGAACGGTCATTAAAACATTTCCTTTTTGACTTTGCAGTCTTTTTACTTTGTGCTCTCCAGTGGCATTTTACACCCTGTGTTTTCTTGCATATTTTTGTAGATTTCTTTAACATTAGATGTGGTGTTACATTTTTGGTGTGAGAGTGAGCAGCTGTAAAAAGCTGCCCATTAGTGCTGAATCATTGCACACCCACATACACACACACACACACACACAGAGCAAGAAGAAAGAAAAAGCTCTCTGTTGACCTACAAATAGCTGTGTCTGTGCAGCAGAGCTTAACCAGAGCTACTTCCACAGCAGTAACTCTGAAGCTACACTAGACTTTACAAACACATCAGCCTGGTTTTGTGAGATTGTTGACTTTCATTATGTGAGCTCTCTCAAATTTGTAATCTGTGGCTCATATTAATGTTTCAGAACAAAAAATGTTCCATTCTTGTTGGTTTGTTTGTTTTATTTATTTATTGTATGTCTGTCTGTCTGTCTGTCTGTCTGTCATAAATGGTAATAAGAACTCCTGCAACTTGAAACATGAAATCAAAATTGACCCGGTTTTCTTTCTTAATTAACATTCCTGGTCTTATTCTCAATGATTCATTACTGCATTGTATAATGTAAAAAAAAAATAATCTTGTTTATTTTTAACTGCACATTGTCATATGAACAGTCAGTACTGATTTCAGTTTCACAAACCTTGAAACCTTAAATTTTGAACATTGAAAGTTCAGTAAGTGAGTCAGATGTGTATTCAGTAGTAACTGCTTTGATGGGTTCTGTGAGTTCATTCAATGAACAATTTGTCAGACTGATTTAAACCAGTAACTCGTGAGTTTGTGGGTGCTTTTGGGTGATTCCCCATAAAACCGGCTCATAAAAGTCATTTGTTTATGAATCGGATTGTACTGTTCTTTCTGTATGCTTGTTTTTGCATACAGCCCACAAGATAATTCGGTTCACTTGTTTTCTTGCTATTTTGTACATTTTCTTTTGTCTCATCACATTAATTTCAGGCTGTAAGCTCACAACTTGGGTAAAATATAATTTTGTTTTCCATAGCACTACATATTCATGCATTTCATTTTTACTTTAAACAGAAGCATTGATACACTTTCATGTTTTAGATTTCCACACATTTGGACCATGATTAATGCAACCCCAAAATGCAGTCATCTTACTGTTGATTTTTAATAAGGAACACAATGAAATCTCTGTTGGGTGGTTTCTTTAATCAAATAATTAAAATAATTTAAGAACCAAATTAGACCAACCCTCAGAGTCAGCTTAACTTCACCACCAGAACCAGAAGGGCGGCCCTGCAGACACCAGCCCAGTGTGGCAGAGATGTCCAAACAAGAGACGGGGGAAGAGAAGTAGTCCAGTGTTGCTTTGAATAGCTTCCAGCATTGTCCTTTGCCTGTAAAAGAGCTCTCTGTTCTTGCTAAAGCAACAAAATGGTGTGCTGGCCCTGGTCACCAGACTACTCTTGGAGTGAACGGTAGAAGGAAGGAGCTGCCAGAGCCATGTTAACACTACATAGAGAAACAATCCATACCATGCGTGCTGGTTGTACTTGATGTTTCCTCTCATTCTTCTACTAGATGCAGAATGAGGCTGAGTTGAGCATGAGAATGAAAGTGATCTGTTTCTGGGAGAGTACATTCTGACGTGTAGTGGGTGGTCATCCAAAAACAGATGTTTAACACCCAAAACCCTATAAACACAATTTCTGATGACCGATTTGTCATCAGCCAGTCCTTGAAAGAGTAGCATGGCATTTTTAAGTATGTGTACCTTTAAAGGGGTTATGTGATGTTGCTAAAAAGAACATTATTTTGTGTAATGAAATGTGTTTATGCGGTTTAAGGTTAAAAAAACACATTATTTTCCACATACTGTACAATATTGTTTCTCCGTTATGCCCCGCCTTTCTGAAACGCGTCGGTATTTTACAAAGCTCATCGGTCTGAAAAGTGAGGTGTGCTGTGATTGGCCAGCTATCCAGTGCATTGTGATTGGCCGAATACCTCAAGCGTGTGACTGAAATGTTAAGCCCCTTACCATGTTGTGATGCCGTGTCCCGGAGCGACGAGACAAAAACATTAAAACTAGGGATGCACCGATAGGATTTTTTGGGGCAGATACTGATACCGATTTTAACAATCAGTTATTGGCCGATACCGATATTTGTCACTTCCTCTCTTATTTGAAATTTTGGCATCAAAATAGATAGTATTTTGATCATGTTTTAAATCAGCAAAGTTCAAAAACACCTGCATTAAATTATACTAGCAGTTTTATTGCTGCATCAAATAATTTCTAATGAACATGGATTGGATCCATTTAACATTCAGCAGGCCTACATAAATACAACAGAACAAAGATACATATTAAATAAACAGTGCTTTTTAGGTAGGTTTAACAGTTTTCAGGTACAGAAATAAAGTAAGCAAATGTAAAATAACACTTCACTGTATAAATTAAATACATATTAATCATTCTTTATTGTAACGGACTTATGACTAATCTTCTAATTTGTTTTTGTATACATTTTTTATATTTTTTTGTGAGTTTAAATATGTATGAGATCTCCATTACCAAGGCGGGACTCTTATTTTGACGGGTTTTCTAGTCTACAGAGCTATATGGGTAATGAAAGCACGCAGTTCTTCGGATTTAAAGTTTGTCAGTTTATTAAGCACCCCCGAAAAGGCATGATATCTGTATATATGATATATGTTAGTTGTAATAAGTGTTTTGTGTAATTCGCTGTATATAATGCAACTGAGAGAGAGAGTTTAATGTGCACTTCTCGTGCTACACTTATGAAAGTTACAAAAGTTTAGTCAAGAATAGTGTGCGATCTTTTGTCTTTTGTTGTGTGATTTGCATTAAAGTGCAGACAGCAACTCTAGGATCATGCAACAGACATTATACAGCTCAGTGCCTTCACGCAGTTAATTAATAAACCATCGGTTTGTTATATCGGCCTTTTCCCTTATATAGCCGATATGCCGATGGTTGTAAATTGAGGAAAAATCAGCCGATAAATATCGGCGGCCAATACATCGGTGCATCCCTAATTAAAACCCATTATAAACGAGGCATTTGTTGCATCCAGTGGGGACATAATTAAGGATTATAATGACTAAAGCTCCGTTCACATCAAGAACGATAACTATAAAGGTAACAATATTAGCGTCCACACCAGCGAACGATATCGTCTGGTTATTCTAAGCGCACATGCGTCTGCCGCTTTAAATTCTTGAGCTCAGGAATGGATGGATGGATTCTGATTGGCTGTCAGTGTTTTATCGTTCATCAGCTGGAAAAAAAATCGTTTTGAAAGTGATCACAACAATATCGTTCCTCTGTATCTATCGTTATCTTTATAGTTATCATGCTTGGTGTGAACGGGCCTTTATTATGTCTTTTTACACATTGCGTTGCATTGCGCCACAAACGTAAAACCATGTCTGTATTTGTGATCGGAGAAATGACAAACAACAAGTGCTACTTTACACCAGCAACAATAAAGTTACGCCTTCTTTCTTTGCGTGAACATTTGGGCGGCGTTATGCAAATCTTCCCACACAGTGACGTAGACTTGTGGGGGCGTGTTTAAACGAGGCATTTTAGGAGGGCGTGGACAAGTCTTAACTTTTATAAAGAATATCTCTTTGGGTTTCAGACTTTAGTCTTTGCAACTTTAGGGATCTTATTTATTCACGAACAGCTTGTAACACTCCAAAGAGAAAGGAAAGCTTGAAATCGCATCATATGACCCCTTTAACACACAACAGTGAACACAGCGCAAGTCTTGATGGCCATGTCCATGAACAAATGACTATTGTGAACCAGCCGATATCAAACAACCTCAAACCTGCTCGAGTTGGAGATTTGAATCAGACTCCCTCCATCAGTGAGTTGTTACTGAGTTCACAATTGACTCCCTCACTGAACCATGTGGCGTTTTTGAAATGATCCGGGAACTGTGATGTGGATTGTAGACTTAAATCAATCTGTTTATTAGTATATGACAGCTGTTGACTTTTTTTGGCCTTTTTGTTGAGTGATTCTATAATTTGTCATCTAGAAAACTGAACCTACAGCGTACATTTAAGTGGCTGCATAACCTTGAAAACTAGAGACCTGTTACTCTAATGTGTATTAACACAAACCATGTGTGGATACAAATGTGCTGTATGTCGTTCCAACCATCCAGCTGATTTATACTATCCTCTCTCAAAGGTCGCCTCGGATTCACCCATACAGGAGGAGACAGCCCCTTGCCCATAAATGGTACGCGCATGCATTTTATTGGCTTAATGTGCTAGTGGCTCAAGCAGAAGGGTGGCTGAACAGGCCCAGCAATCTATGTGTTGAAATAGTCAGTAAGATGAACTTTTGGGGCACTTTGGCTCACTTTTAGCTGTAACATTCTGTTTGAATGGATTTGAAACATGAGGTAAAGCAAACATATAAATCTATAAAATTAAGAGAAATGTAGGATATTAGTAAAGTTAATGTTTAGTTGTCATCAAATAGGTATAATCTTGTACTGTTGTAAAAAAAAAAAAAAACAGCTTCTGAGTCAAAGGGTGATATAAATAAAACTGGCCCTGTTTTCATAGCTTGTTTCAAATCATTCAGTGGTTTGAAAAGTAAGAACATGTTCACTTACTCAAATAGGGCTAGCTAAAAATATATATTTTAAAATATTTTGCTATTATTTTTAGCCCTGATGATAACTGATATCTTGAGGATTATTTATTTATTTATTTTTTGTAATATGAGACCCTGGACCACAAAACCAGTCTTAAGTCACTTGGGTATATTTTTAGTAATAGCCAAAAAAACGTCGTATGGGTCATAATTACCGATTTTTCTTTTATGCCAAAAATCATTAGGATATTAAGTAAAGATCATGTTCCATGAAGATATTTTGTAAATTTCCTACCATAAATATATCAAAACTTAATTTTTGATTAGTAATATGCATTGCTAAGAACATAATTTGGACAGTTTTAAAGGCGATTTTTCTCAGTATTTAGATTTTTTTTTGCACCCTCAGATTCCAGATTTTCAAATAGTTGTATCTCGGCCAAATATTGTCCTATCCTAACAGACCATACATCAATGGATTATTTATTCCTTATTTATTCTTATGTATAAATCTCAATTTCAAAAACCCTTATGTAGGGCTGCATAATTAATCACATTTCTAATCGCGATTACAATTATGAATGCCACAATTATGTAATCGTTCAAAGTCCACTTATGTTATTCTGCGTGCTTAAGATGCATTTTTTTCTTTCTACATGTTATCTTAAAGGGGTCATATGATGTTGCTAAAAAGAACATTATTTTGTGTATTTGGTGTAATAAAATGTGTTTATGCGGTTTAAGGTTTAAAAAAACAAATTTTCCACATACTGTACATTATTGTTTCTCCTCTATACCCCGCCTTTCCTGAAATGCATCGATTTTTACAAAGCTCATCAGTCTGAAAAGCGAGGTGTGCTCTGATTGGCCAGCTATCCAGTGCGTTGTGATTGGCCGAATACCTCAAGCGTGTGACTGAAATGTTACACCTAGGGATGCACCGATACCGGTATCGGTATCTGGCCCGATACTGGTCTCCTGTACTCGTACTCGTACTTGTTAAAATGCCCCGATACCAAACACCGATACCACACAGTGATAAGCCAATTATGATTTTTGTCATAATCGTGCAGCTCTACCCTTATGACTGGTTTTGTGGTCCATGGTCACATATGAGATGAAATTTCAGTTACATATCCATGAATTGTTTAATGTATGAAGTAAAATGCAGATAAAATGTAAATAAATAATCAACGCATGTTTTCCAAGCTTTCTTTTTATCTTAATGAAACAGAAGGTTGAATATTGTTTAAATATTATCTTACATTTTCATGTACCAATATAATGTGTATATTATATATATATAGTAATAAACAGCACTTTTTATCTTCAAAATAGGGTATTTCTAAAAAACATAAAATGCCACACTGAGTTTTGTTTAATTTAAACAGATAGCTTGAACGGTTTAATTCGCCAAATTTAGCAGCATTTTTTTCCTCGTGTTTAAATCAGAAATGCTATTACACATGCTAATGATTACTTTTTATCATTATAGCAGTGAAAAATATATTTTTTAAATTGTAGTTTGTGAGGTATCATGTTTCCAGTGAGTAGACATTTGATAATCGGCAAGGGTTGTTAATGAATGTGCTCAGAATTAAAACACGTTTGGACGGGTAGGTTGAATCACACAAGAAAATTATTAAAATACATTCTGACAATCTTCTCGATGAGCCAAGAAACTCAGTTTAGTTGCACAGTTTAGTTTGAGCCTTGTTAAAATTGTTTGAGCACTTGGCCGACAAACCCAGGTAATTGACTTCTTGCAAGATTTTAATTATAATCATACGGCTCTGAAATGCCACATACTTTCAACACATTTGTTTAAAATGTAAAATTGCAGTCAGGTTTGGCATAAAAAGCTTAGTTCCACTATTCATTTATATAGTTTAGTCAGAGAATTCACATTTTCATTGGGGATGTGTTACTTTACTTGTGATCGTCTTATTTTACATGCAGCAAGGAATTATGGGAGGCGACGAGGTAAAGAAAACTTCTAACAAATCCAAATGAAAAAAATGAAAGACTTTCAAACTATCATAATGATGGGTAGAATAATCCAGCATCTGCATGATATGTTTTGGGGCATTGTTAATTGTTTGCATGTACACAAGCAGCCTTCATTTCCATTTGTGTATCGATTGTGTGCCTCTTTCCTGCTGTACTCCAGAGATTTTTTTATTTTTTATTTTTGGTGAAGAGTGAATTTGATTGGGGTTTTTCTGTGGTTAGGGCAACCACACACACACACACACACACACACACACACACAAACATCCAGGCCACAGTTGTGACTAACTCCCTAACATAAAGTCTTGTAAAGCAGCTCAGGCCTGTGTTCTGTCACGTCAGGAGGAAATTTGCTGGAGTGGCTTGAGCCAGAGAACTAATACTATATCCGCCAGTCCTCATCCTATGTTATTACTGAAGCTTTAGTGCAGAGCTACATGGCCATGTGCTGGACATTAACACTTACATTAACGGATATTTTGACAAAATATTCTCTTATATAACCTAATTGTAGAAATGAGTTTTATAGGCACAGATGCGAAGGAGAGTGCCTAAAACCCCATTAAACCCCACAAAACGTCAGTTTTCACAAAAATATTAAGCAGCCCGACTGTTTTCAGCACTGAATAATAATCAGAAATGTTGTTAGAGCACAAAAATCAGCATATAAAATGATTTCTGAAGGATAATGGGTTACACTTTATTTCGATAGTCCACTTTAGACATTCTACTAACTATAAGTAACTTTGTAACTACATGTCAACTACATGTCAACTAATTCTCATTAATTTGCAACTACATGTCTACTAACTCTCAGAGTAGACTGTTAGGGTAGGTTTAGGGTTAGTAGAATAAGTTGACAAAGAAAGTGTTAGAAGATATTAAGCAGACAGTCTACTAATACTCTACTAACTGCTAGTTGACATGTAGTTGCAAAGTTACTTGCTGTTAATAGAATGTCTAAAGTGGATTATCGAAATAAAGTGTTACCAGATAATGTGACACTGAAGACTAGAGTAATGATGCTGAAAATTCAGATTTGAATCAATCAATTGAATCAATTTGAATAAATAACATTAAAACATTAACAGTATTAAAATAGAAAAGTTACTTTAAATTATAGTCATTTTTCACATGAATTTTACTGAATTTTTTTATCAAATATGCTGCCTTGGTGAGCATAAGAGATTTCTTTCAAAAACCCGAACATTTGAGCGTTTAACACAACTCGCTGTATAGAATATAAAAATGACCTGCTTTATCATTGGACCAAAACTGTGGGCTATAATTTGTTTTATACCACAGAAGTCGTAATTCAGAAATCCCCATGCTTTCGAAATTGCACAACCCAAGATAATGCAATTGTCTGTCTTAGTATTTCTTGGGCTCTGAATAATCCGTCAGTGTAATTGATTTCATTCTGTGGTGTAGGAATATAGCTTAAACACTGAGAAAGGCACAGATGATAATTCCTGCCTTCTCCCCCTTCTTCAGGACACTCATCCCTGTTCCCGATGGAAGATGGCTTCCCAGACGAGGAGAGAGGCGATCAGAGCCTGCCTGGCCTTGGTTCCTCCCACTGCTTCCCTCACCAGAACGGAGAGAGGGTGGAGCGCTATTCTCGCAAAGTCTTTGTGGGTGGCCTCCCCCCTGATATAGACGAAGGTATTACACACGTTTAGGGTGACCTCTGCACTGCTGCTTATAAAAACAAAACCAGGTTTCAAGGTTCATTGTTGGCTTTGGAACTGTTTCCACGATAGCTACTTACTCTTATCTGAAATACTATCTTGCCTAGATGAGATAACAGCTAGTTTTCGCCGCTTCGGGCACCTGTTTGTGGACTGGCCTCACAAAGCAGAGAGCAAGTCATACTTCCCCCCGAAAGGTGAGCTAAGAGTTTAGAGTATTAGTTGAAGGCCATTTTTAAACAGTAATTTTCATAATAGGCACATACTAATATTTTAATTGTGGCTGGCTTGATCACCATGACAGCACTTGAGTACTCAATTAAAGGGATAGTTCACCCAAAAATGACAATTCTGTCATCATTTACTCACCCTCATATCATTCCAAACCAATAAGACTTTTGTTCATCTTCAAAAAAACAAGTGAAGAAGGAAACCTGAGAGATTTTTCTCTCATTTTGAAGTCCGTTCCACTTGTAAAAAATAGTCCATATGTATCGACCGGTGAAGTCTTCTGATGAGACACCATCACTTTATATCGGTTATGCTTGAACAGTGAATGAATTAGATGTAAATAAAAGCCTAAATTAAATTTGTTCAGCATATAAAACAATTTCTGGCTCTTTTATGTTTTTTCATAGTTTTGTGATGTCTTTGTGAACTTTTTGAAGCTTGAAAGTTTTGGTGGAATGGACTTTCAATGGGACGGCAATCTCTTACGTTTCATTAAATACATTTTTATTTGTGTTTTGAAGATGAATGGAAGTGTTGTGGGTTTGGAATGACTTTAAGGGTGAGCAAATGATTTAAAGAATTTTCATTTTTGGGAGAACCATCCCTTAAAGTTGGTACTGCCGATTAGGTTTAAAGACAGGAGTTGTTTTGGTAATGATGTGCATTTTCTATTTATTATTTTAATGTAAAATGTTGTACTTCTGCTATTCCCACTGCTTACTAACTCTAAAATTCTCTTTTCCAAAGGTTACGCTTTCCTCTTGTTTCAAGATGAGAGCTCTGTTCAAGCCCTTATCGATGCCTGCATCGAGGAGGACGGAAAGCTCTATTTATGTGTTTCCAGCCCCACCATTAAAGACAAACCTGTAAGGATGAATTACAATACTGCACCTCAGTTTTTATAGTGAATTTCTTTTTTTTGTCTTAAACAGCTGCATTTTCAAATTAAGCGTTATTTTGTCCTTATTTGTTCTGTGAAGACCTGCTATTGTTTTATTTGTCAGTGAATTTGAAAACTCTGTTGTGGATTATTTTTTCATGTATTGTTGACGTGTGGCTTTGTAACAGGTCCAGATTCGCCCTTGGAATCTTAATGATAGTGATTTTGTGATGGATGGATCACAGCCCCTGGACCCGAGGAAGACCATATTTGTGGGTGGGGTGCCACGCCCTCTTCGTGCAGGTATGGAGTTTTTTTTGTTGTTGTTTGTTTCTGTGTGAAATTAAATGTGTGATCACATACAAACTGTTTTAGAGTAGCCAGGGTTTCATTTATGCCAGAACAAGTCAATCCAGCTGTCATGGAATTGCATTCAGCTACTATTTTAGTATCTCCCCTAATCACAGAGGATGGAATCTTCCTTGCTGGCAAAAAATCTTTTTATTTTACCTTAATGAGTAGTTATTAGGAGACCAATAAGTAACTTTGTTGTAACATATTAAGAAGCACTGCTCTTTGAGTAACTTTCTGTTAACAGCTTGTAGTATAGCTGCTTGATCAGAAGAGCAGTGAAACTGTAGCTTGCTAATAGTTTGTAGCTTTACAGACTATTTTCAAAGTAGCTTTTCAAGGCAAAACTTCTAAAATATATTGGGAGTTGCCATTTTATTTTAGTATGAAAGGGGTAGAAAGAATGATGCAGTCTAATTTGTATGTTTTTAAACTTTTAAGCATTAAATATGTTGTCTTTCTGACAGTGGAGCTGGCAATGATCATGGACAGGCTGTATGGTGGCGTGTGCTACGCAGGCATCGACACAGACCCAGAGCTGAAGTACCCCAAGGGAGCAGGGCGGGTCGCCTTCTCTAATCAGCAGAGCTACATTGCTGCTATCAGTGCTCGTTTTGTACAACTGCAGCATGGAGAAATCGATAAACGGGTCAGTGCTGACTTCCACAAAAAATGCATAAGCACACTCCCCTTCCATGCAATGGCATTGATCCAGCAAGCCTCAAAAACACTCAAAAAGCAGGGTTTTGGACTATGCGCTAACCCTAGTTGTGACATTACAACATGTTTTTTGTTGATGAACAAATGCATGTTTTGCACAGCTTCGGTTACATTTTAAATGCTTTTTTAATGCAGGACTTATAAAAAATAAGAAAGATGGGGTTTTGTAGGCCAAAATGTTCAGGTTATGGTTCTCAATGGTAAAATCCCATGAAACCTGTCAAGCACATGTCATATTGACACAAAAATAAGCTATATTTTGCATTTTGGTGTTATTTTCATGACAATGTTTTCCCCTAATTCTCATATCTGTCCATCTGTCTGTCTGTCTGCCTGTCCACCTGTCTGTGGTGAAGTATTTATACACTGTGTTAGTATTTGCTGTATTGCCATTTTTAGCAATATCTATTTTTTTGTTACAAAACAAAATATATGGTTGTTCAATCAGTTGAAGAAAAGATTTACCCAAACAATACAGAACAAATAAATAGAACAAAAAGAGGCAAATAGGGGGAAAAACTCACTAGAAAAACTAATTTAATTTCATTTTAATTTTAAAATATTAAATATAATATATTTGCTGTTTTACTTTATAACTGTCATGACAGTTCATATTGCGAATAATAGGAATTACTGACAACTTATAAAATTCATACTCATAAAAAAATAATGTCAAAATAATGCAAAATACACACACGTAACAGTCTGCTGATCTTTCTCGGCCCAGGTGGAAGTGAAGCCATACGTCTTGGATGACCAGCTGTGCGATGAATGTCAGGGGACTCGCTGCGGAGGCAAGTTCGCTCCTTTCTTCTGCGCTAACGTGACCTGTCTCCAGTATTACTGTGAATACTGCTGGGCGGCCATCCACTCTCGCGCCGGCCGGGAGTTCCACAAGCCTCTGGTTAAGGAAGGCGGCGACAGACCTCGCCACATCTCCTTCCGCTGGAACTAAAGCTGGTAGGCCAGGAGAAGACGGAGGGAAAGAGAGGAGGGAGAGAGCAGGCTAGGAGGAGTCGCAAAATCATCATCTAAATAAATGCACTTTTCTGTTGCTGGTTCCTTTTTAGTTTAATTTAAAAAAGACAGACAAAAAATATGATTTTAATTTGTCATTTAATATATATATATTAAAAAAAATGGATGTGTATCCAAAAAAAGATTCAGGAAGAAAAAGAAAATGTCTAATCCATCTCTCTATTTTTTTATAACTCCATTATATTTAATTTTCAAGTGCACAGAGATGTGAATATATTGAGTATTAGTATAATTTGTCAGTAAGTATCTGCATGACTTTAGAATTGGCTTTTTGTTAACATTGCGATTGGAAGTATTACGTCCTATTTTAATTGAATCGAAAAGGCGAAGGAGCAAACGTGAAAAGAAAAGGTGCGGGACGAGTGCACTTATTTCTTCGCTACCCAGAGTGCAGATGTGTGGTCTAAGATCTCAGTTGTTAACCAAAGCTTGGGATTTGAGAACAGAAGTGACTTCTCTCGACGCTCTGTTTTTACTTTACTTTGTACTTTAAGACCATGCTAATCTTCAATGTTTCTTGATGACAACAACTGATTCCACAACAGCTGTCTGGATTTGATCTCCATTGTGACATGCAAGAAAACTAATACCTCAAGCTTAGCTGCTAGTTTAAGTCGAATATATATATAGTATATATATATATATAAAAAAAAATCAAGCTGGTCTCACCCTTTCCCCCAGGACCATAGAAAAAGGAAATGACATCAGCAAACGGCACATTGAGAAAATCTGCTCTGTCACTTCCTGATTTGAATTCGAGATTCAGCATCCTAGTGGGGAATGTATGTTGTTAAAGTTGCAGTAGTCTGCCTGCAAGCTGGTTCAAATGCAAGAAACTTGATTTCCTTTCTGGTCCAGCTTAGCAAGGAGCAGCCGTCGTTCTCTCAGGCTGTTAGCAGCAAGCCTTTTTTAGTTTTAATTTTTGACTCTCAGTATGTGTCTCCTAAGCCTTTCCCCAGCCCCCCGAAGCCCAAAAGCCTGAAAAGAGGTGTACGTACAAGCAGAACCGCAGTGAAAGCTACTTAGAAGGGAGGAAGAATGATCAAACAATGTACCTCCTGTCCTGCAGCAGCCGTGCCCGCTCAGCCTGAGTGTGAAGCATAACTGAAGGTAGTCCATGCATCTCTCCACTCGCTCGGCCCCTTCCCCCAACGCTCACCTGAAACATAAGAGGTTTTACTTTCAGACATTAGGGAACCAAAGATGGCTGTGTAGTATCTAGCGAATCCATGAACGTTTTCTTTCTTTTGCCCTGCAGATTTCATTTTGCCTGATTATTTCTGCCCCCAACCCGACCCAGTCCTCATCCCATTCAATATAAAGACCAGATGGGCTCCAGCAAACCAAAGATTGGCCTTGAATCGATCAGCATGCAGTTACAAGTCCTAGTAACACTAGTGAAAACCACTTTTCTGCTTTCCAAAGGTCAACCGAAAGAGACGCATGTAGTTCGGCGGTCGGGTATTGTTGAGGAGTTTACGCCAGGCATCAGGATATCCAATTCGGTAGATTTACGGCATTTAAACCGACTAGCGCAAAAGTCAGGGAGTTAGTGATCAATTAAGACTTGATACACTAGTGAGAAATGTATCCTCGTGTCGGCTTGAGCTGGTGGGTGTGGTGGTTGAACGTTTTTGAAGTTAAACACTTTTTGAAGAATTTGCTGTTAATGAGATGGCAAAAACAACAAAAAAAGAGATTATTTTATACATGGCCTGCTGATTTTTGGTACAGTGTTTTCTAGCTAAATTATTTTGTCATGCACATATAAACATTTATTATGCACTACTTTTCTAAGTACTTTTTTTTTTTCAACAGTCATTTTAGGCACATTTTTCACGAAATGGAAAAAAAAAACCCTCCTTTTTGCAATACCTCAATTTTTCACATTGTGAAAGGTAGCTTTTGTACTTTTGTTACTGAGAGATCTGCATATATGGAAATTTTCATTTTAAGAGAAAAAAAAAAGTTGCGTGAATTTAATATATATTATTTTCAATTATGCTTTTTATACATTTCAGTGCTGAGGACTCTTTACAACTAAGCACGCACTTGCTTGTGTTGACGCGACAAATCTGCAGTGGAGAGATCAAAGTGTATTGCTTAAGGTCTTGGCTCTTGTACACTAGATTTTAATGGCAGCCCTAGATTCGGAAATGATCTGACAGCAGCATGGTAAGAACACGTTGTCGTTCATGTTAATATTGCGCAAAATGGCTAAAAGAGAACCTCGTCTTTTTGGTTTCCTCTCCATAGCTGGAATATAAACTTATAATATAAGGAGAATGCTAAGTCTGGTTCATGTTTAGGCTGATCCTCGTATCACAAGAATGGATGTTTGATGTTTAGATATTTTAACATTTGAAAATATATATTCTTGAACTGCCAACTAGTTCCTATTGTAATCCTTAGCATGCATGATGAGAAAAAAAAAAAACGTACATGAATTAGCTATTGAAATTAATCGTTGTGGTTGTGCACCAGATGTTTCTAAACCTTTGATCTGACAGCAGCATGGTAAGAACACGTTGTCGTTCATGTTAATATTGCGCAAAATGACTAAAAGATAACCTTGTCTTTTTGGTTTCCTCTCCATAGCTGGAATATAAACTTCTAATATAAGGCGAATGCTAAATCTGGTTCATGTTTAGGCTGATCCTCGTATCAAAAGAATGGATGTTTGATGTTTAGATATTTTAACATTTGAAAATATATATTCTTGAACTGCCAACTAGTTCCTATTGTAATCCTTAGCATGCATGATGAGAAAAAAAAAAAAAAAACCGTACATGAATTAGCTATTGAAAATAATTGTTGTGGTTGTGCACCAGATGTTTCTAAACCTTCGTTTAAGGCCACCCCCACACCCTGCACCCTTCCCATGTTATTCTTCTATGCCTTCCCCATAATCCAGTATCAATGGGATTATACACACAAGCGTAAAAAAAAAAGAAGAGAACTCTAAATGTCATTGGATGAATTTGCAGTGCAGGACGAAAGCATCTTTAGAAAAGACTTGAGAACTTCATCCCCACTGTCTGTTTGAAGTAAATGAAAACCCGTTTAGAGGAAGGGGAACTTAAGACTTGAATGTGGTAAATGTTGCAAGTTAACTTGGAGTTGTTATGTGCAATACTTTTTTTGAACTTTTTCCAGATAAAGACTCTTTGCAATGTAATTCTTTAATGCCATTTTTAATTGCCGACATTTAAAGAAGATGTTAATATGTTTTTCACAGTCATTTTCTACTGTTATTGTAATCCTTTTCATGCTGGTGTTTGTAAAAAAGAAAAGAAATCAAACTATTTGTACTAATATAAATAATTGAAGTTATTTTTAAAACATTAAAGGTTTTGTGCTCATTTGCTTATTTTGTTTATTTCAAGCTACTGTGATTGATTGCATTGTAATTATTAGGTCAACAATGTATTTAGCTGTTTATTGGTATATTTTTAATTGGAATGTATAATTAATTTTTATAATTTTGATCAGATTTTTGTTATATTTTTGAGGTGAAGCTTTTAATATGTTAAAGTGTCTAGTTTTTACTAATTGCTATATTGTGCTCCACAATATATGGTTCACATTTTCTGAAGGAAAATAAATATTTAAATATCTGTCTGTTAACGATGTTACTTAATGGCAAAATTTCAATAGTTTTTAACTGTGTATGGGAAGGTTGTTGTATTTATTAATAGCATTTTTTTTACTTAAGATATCACCTTAATTTTTATTGTCATTTCACTTTATAAGTTCCTATTTTTGTATTTTTCTTTCTAATTAAGTTATGTTATACGAAATGTCCATATTCTAGGAGTTGGTCTGTAAGTGCTAGTGAAACAAAAAGAAAAATCTAATGTTATTTAATTGTTTGCAGCCAACTATTTATAACAATATGCATAATTTTTCAATATTTGTAATGTGAAATGTTGAATGAATAAAACTTAACTGTGACAAGACGCTGGCTCTTGTATTTCTTGCATTAAGTGCATTATTAGTGATTAAAAGACTCTAGATATTCTCTCGCTTGTAGATTCTGGCAGATGCTTCTCTGAATTCACTTGATTTTTTTTTTCTGTGGTCCACAGCGCAAATGAATCATAATGACCAGTATGAATTGTGCAGTGGATTTTCAGCCAGATGTCTGCCACACTTTTACATTGAATTTTTATTTTTTTTTAAATACACATTTTATAAATGTATATTGCCTTAGAAAACCGGGTGTAGTTCTAAATACATCAGAAGCTATTTAATTAGTTTTTATATCATTAGGTTTTATGTTCTGATTTATTGTTCTCAGTGGCACCACCTGCTGTCTGAATGGTTCTATTGGAAATGTAGTTCTTTGTTACTTGATCTTGTAAGCACTTTATCTGGTCTTTGGATTATCTTTTTTTGTCTAAGTCGTTTTGTTGTAAATCCATTTTCTTAACACTTCTGTTCATATTCACATAAACCATATTTAAAGCTGCAGTGCGTAACTTTTTTTTTTGTTAAAAATGATCCGAAATCAACATTTGAGCAAGTACATAACCAGCCAGAGTTCGAAACTATCGCCTTTAGCCTGATTCACAACGGTTAGCTTATAATGTTTTCTAATTTGAGTGGTACGGGTAGGTTTTCATGGGAAATTCGAGAATGGCACTGCGTCATTACGTCACGTCTGTAAACAAAGAAGTTGACCCGGGCTAGTAGGCTATCGCATGTGCGGATCCTGCAGGTGGCGCATCGTTTATAGCCTTTTCTCACAGCAGCTAGAATAGTTAAATGTATCATTTTGATGGCGGATTGTAATCCATAAAAGATTATGTGTTTATGAAACACGTGTGAATGAAATTAAATTATATTCCAGTTATAAATGTGCTTCTGATTACAGATAGCCTGGGATTACAAAGATTTGTATTTGAAAGAAAACCAGTTCGAAGGGAGCATAATTAGCTTTTTGGGTTAAAAGAATTCCTTGATATGAAATTCGAAGAGTATGACAATTAGATTAGACTGTGCAGAAATTTAAATCTACACGCTAATACACACTATACTCATAGTCACGCAATGCTGATGTTGTCAACATTAATCATTTGAGAATAAAGTATAACAATAATAATAATTTGAACGGTTTGATGTGATATGAGCTAACCGATCTTTAGATTTAATCACCATTGGTAGCGAGATTTATGGTAATGCTTTTTTCCTCAGTTGGTCAGAACAAACGTGGCAGACTTGTTACTTGTTCAGATGGCAATATACAATGAAAGTAGGCTAGAATCTGTGATTGTGAAGTACAGTAAATATCCACACCGGTGCGGTGACTGACTGCCACACATACTCTTCAGAACATTAGATTAATCCGCGCTGGAGCCGTGCCGACTCACAACCCACGCAAGCTAGATAATTCCGCACACAGCTGCAATTCCAGGTTTTCAAACAGAGATGGCGACAAAGAGGCAAAACTTACGGACTGCAGCTTTAACACTCAGATTTGCCATTTTCAGAGTCATCTAGATGAGACAAAACAAAGACAAAATCGATTTAACATGGTTAAATCAAAAGCAGATGTCAGATCGGGGAAATATAAATGCTTGATAGCACAATGTTTCAATACACAAACTCAGATGCCAGCCAACACAAATCTGATTTTATCATTAACCACTAATTCAATCCTGAGCTTCTTTCACCCGATACTCCACAAGAGATAAGCAATTTCTTTGCTTTATAATTTTACAGATTTCATCAACTGTAATAGATCAGTGTGGCACTGTTTCAGTGAATCTTCTTTGTCTAGATTTCACACTGGTCGATGCCATCTTGCTGAGGTAATGAAGAAGACCCACCCTAATATAACAGTGAACATGCCTCAGTTGTTCCCTTATATCTCTCTCCAGCTACAGGATCTGTAGAATAATAGAAGAGCGAGATGAGATCATCCTCATCTCTGACTCTGGAAACAAAGGTTGAGTACTGTGTGTAGTCCGGTCACAGTCTAATTATTTATTTCCCATGAGACTGTGGGACAGGAAATGTAGATCACGGTGGTTCACTGGTGAGAGCTTTCAATCACAGAACTCATTTGGATGATAAAACAGAGTGATTATCAGTTGAAGCTGTGCATGACGTGTGACATCAATGCCACACCCTTTAGCAGGAATTACATGATTAAGCCTGCATATTTTTGCTGGCATCCCAAAGAAGCACACATCAGCATACTTTTAAAAAGAAAATGGAAATAACATTTTGATGAAGATAGCTTCTGAATGTAATTAAGTGGTTTTGGACACTTAATTGCATGTTATTTGCATTTAAATGCAAATGTATTAGTTTACATTTATATTAAATGCAATTAGCTGAACTTAAGAGTGTTTTTTTTTTCTCCAACCCACTTCTTTATATGTGGGTCAAAGACGTTAAGATGTCCGCATCAAAAGAAATTTACAAAAGTGATTTTATGTCCATAGAAAGCACATCAAATTTAAGTAAAGTGTCTACTTTTAAGGTTTCAAATAAGTTTTTGGAGAATAAAATGTCATAATTGGGTTGAAATAATGTTACATTGTCATTCAGTGTAACATGATATTTATGTAAAAATTCAAACAGCATGCTTATTCTGACTTGTACATATTCAAATATATAAAAGAATAAGGGAGCATATTAAATTTTATTGTGTTTTAAATGAGTAAAAAATTCTTACTGACAAATGGGCAAAACCTAGGATAGTGGCAAATTTTTAAAATGTAAAATTACAATTAATTAGTATTTGGGGTTTAAGTAATTAGTCTTTTAATATGTCATAAATTGATTTTTGTTGTAAATATGCCTGACAAGATTATTACACTGAATGACATTTTAGTTGGGTGTCTTCTGTAAATCATGGAAAAATGATTTAAAAAATGGAGAAACAAAATTTCAATTAAATTAAACAGAAAACTTTTTAAATATTTTTGGGAATATTTAAAAAATGGAGAAACAAAAACAAAATTTCAATTAAATTAAACAGAAAACTTTTTAAATATTTTTGGGAAAACAACAACAATTTAAAGCAGTATTACACTTATTGTTTTTATGCTTAAACCCTTTTTCGACCTTTGCCCCATGTACATAATTTCACTACTTTGTCTTTGAAATGTGGTTAACCTACTGGCAAGCATTTATGGTCAACTAAAATATATATAATTTCAGTTGAAACTTGAATGTCATGTACTTCAATGTATTTGTAATTACACATTTGTAATGATGAAGTTGCAATTATACACTTTAAATGATATATATACATATAATTTGAAGTACACTTAAATACATTAGATTTACACTACAAGGACATTCAACACAGTTCAGTGCACTTCTTATAGTGATAGTGTGTTTGTGTAGTGTGTAAAAACGTGTGTAAAATTTATGTTGGTGTGTTACACCCCATCCTCCTTAAATCGAGATGGGTGCCTTCAG